TTCGCATAACAGGAAGATCCCTGTGTTTTAACTGTTCTGTATCTTGAGTGTGAAAGTGGATACATGGACCTACATATGATATAAACTTGTATATAATTAAATACACTCACATACACATAAAATGAGTACAAGTGAAACTGGGGAAACCTGTACAAAATCTGTGGACTGTGTCAATTTCCATATCCTGGTTGTGACTATACTTTTGCAAAGTATTATCATTAGTAGGATCTGGCTTAAGGGTATGCAGGGTTTCTCTGTATTATTTATTTCACTACATATGAAATCTATAGTTATCTGAATAATTTTTTTTTTTTTGAGGTGAAATCTCACTCTATTGCTCAGGCTGGAGTGAAGTGGTGCGGGTCTTGGCTTAGTGCAACCTCTGCTGACCGGGTTCAAGCGATTCTCCTGCCTAAGCCTTCCGAGTAGCTGAGATTACAGGCACCTGCCACCATGCCCACCTAATTTTTGTATTTTTAGTAAAGACGGGGTTTCACCATCTAGACTAGGCTGGTCTTGAACTTCTGACCTCGTGATCCACCCACCTTGGCTTCCCAAAGTCCTGGGATTATGGGATTACAGGTGTAAGCGGACCACCTTTTTTTTTTTGAAATGGATTCTTGCTTTGTTGCCCAGGCTGGAGTGCAGTGGCTCAATCTCAGCTCACTGCAACCTCTGCCTCCAAGGTTCATGTTATTCTCCTGTCTCAGCCTCCAGAGTAGCTGAAATTACAGGTGCACACCACACACCCAGCTAATTTTTTTGTATTTTTAGTAGGGACGGGGTTTCAGATTCTCCTTTCTCAGCCTCCTGAGTAGCTGAGATTACAGGCGCACACCACACACCCAGCTAATTTTTTTGCATTTTTAGTAGAGACACGGTATCACCATGTTAGCCAGGATGGTCTTGATCTCCTGACCTCGTGATCTGTCCGCCTTGGCCTCCCAAAGTGCTGGGATTACAGGCATAAGCCACTGCGCCCAGCCTGAATACAAATTTAAATAAAAGAGACATCGGCACTGCCTCGTCTCGGCTACTCCNCCTGGGTTCAGGCAATTCTCCTGCCTCAGCCTCCTGAGTAGCTGGGATTACAGGCACGTGCCACCATGCCCAGCTAATTTTTTGTATTTTTAGTAGAGACGGGGTTTCACCATGTTGATCAGGATGGTCTTGATCTCTTGACCTCATGATCCACCCGCCTCGGCCTCCCAAAGTGCTGGGATTACAGGCGTGAGCCACCGCGCCCGGCCAATTTTTGTATTTTTAGTAGAGATGGGGTTTCACCATGTTGGCCAGACTGGTCTCAAACTCTAGCCAGACGGCTAGAAAGTACTAGAATCAAGATTTCAAGAGTCTGGCTCTAAATCCTCTACAGAGGCTTTTGTTAAGAGCTAAGTAAGGCTGGGCACAGTGGCTCATGCCTGTAATCCCAGCACTGTGGGAGGCCGAGGTGGGCGGATCACCTGAGGTCAGGAGTTTAAGACCAGCCCGGCCAACATGGTGAAACCCTGTCTCTACTAAAAATACAAAAATCATGGCCGGGTGCAGTGGCTCACGCCTGTAATCCCAGCACTTTGGGAGGCTGAGGCAGGCAGATCACAAGGTCAGGAGTTCGAGACCAGCCTGGTCAAAATAGTGAAACCCGTCTCTACTAAAAATACAGAAAATTACATGGTGAAAACCTGTCTCTCCTAAAAATAGTAAATTTAGCTGGGCATGGTGGCATGTGCCTGTAATCCCAGCTACTCGGAGGCTAAGGCAGGAGAATAAATTGAACCAGGGAGTTGGAGGTTGCATGAGCCAAGATGGCACCATTGCACTCCAGCCTGGTGACAGAGAGTGACTCTGTCTCAAAAAAAAAAAAAAAAAATTAGTCAGGTGTGGTGGCAGGCACCTGTAATCCCAGCTACTCCAGAGGCTGAGGCAGGAGAATCAACTGAACCTGGAGCAGAGGTTGCAGTGAGCTGAGATTGCACTCCAGCCAGGGCAACAGAGCGAGACTATGTTTCAACAATAAATCAATACATAAAATAAACCACGCAAAAAAACGATGTTGACCAGGCTGGTCTCAGAACTCCTGAGCTTAAGCAATCCACTTGCCCAGCCTCTCTAAGTGTTGGAATTACAGGTGTGAGTCATTGCACCTGGCCAGCTATTTTTCTTTTAAGGAAAATCAGAGGCTGCTGTGCTTTGGAGTAGCCATTCCTTATTCCTTTACTTTATAAAAAGAAAAAGAAAAAAAGGATGGGTGGTTTTACTTTGAAACTTTCAAAACTATTTGCAAATACAATTTTTCTCTAACTAGTTTGCAGTAGAGAGTTTCAATTCAAGGTCAGAGGAGGAAGCCAACTAATGAAATGTTCACTAAATGATTTGTCGGTGTTTCATATTTTCTTTATCATCAGTTAGCATTCCCTACACCATCACTTTAGAGAGTCAATGGAATTTTATAGGATTAGGCCTTGGTTAGACTGGGAGGCCAATAGCACTGTTCAAGCACATGGGTTGTCTGTGTTTGAAGCCTGACCTGTCATTTGCTCACTTTCTGACCTTGAGCAGATTACTTGAAGTCTCTCAACTTGTTTCCTCATGGGGATAATAAAAGTACTTCTAGGCGGTTTGTGAAAACGTATAAAGACGTTAAAAACGGCCAGTCGCAGCGGCCCACACCTGTAATCCCAGCACTTTGGGAGGCCGAGGTGGGCAGATCACCTGAGGTTGGGAGTTCAAGACCAGCCTAACCAACATGGAAAAACCTCACCTCTACTGAAAATACAAAATTAGCCAGGTATGGTGGCACATGCCTGTAATCCCAGCTACTGGAGAGGCTGAACCAGAAGAATTGCCTGAACATGGGAGGTGGAGGGTTGCAGTGAACCACGATTGCACCACTGCACTCCAGCCTGGGTGGCAAGAGCAAAACTCTGTCTCAAAAAACAAAAATTTAACAAAAAGAGGTTAAAAACATTGCCTAGCATATAGTAAGCACCCAATAAATAAGAATAAGAAATAATATTTGAATAGTAATTACTTTATGCCAGGAACTACTATAAAAGCTGTATATATATATATAAACAATTAGCTATTACTAGTATTACTAATTCCTAGTTCAGGATTTAGCTTAGTAAATTTTCTGCTTCAGAAGCAAATATGAGAGGTGAAAACATCAACTTATTCTCCTCAGTCTGAGTTACATACTTTCCAAATAAAGTCATAGGGCACCATTTCCTTGCTGTCAGGGAAAACAAGACATGGGTTTATCACCTATCCCCTCAATTTAACAGCAGCCATCTAAGGCATGTACTCTGTAGCATTTAAGCCAAAATTAAGAGTTGGCAGGTATTGCTGCTCAACTGGTACCCATTTTAGGAATGATGCTGAATCATAGCATTTTAGCTGGTCTTCTCTCAGGACACTTACTACTTTCTATGACCCTTGTTATCCTGCAAGTTCTGCAAGGGCACACTCTGTGTCTTAACTAGTCACCTTTGTAACCCCTGCAATGCTGAGCATGAGACTGAACACTGGAGGAGAGGAGGGGAATAAAACATCTCCAGGGAAGGGGAATGTAATGGGAGCCTCTTAAAGTCCCACTGGCAGCTTATCTTTTGAGTGAGCTGACTTTTTCCTATTTTCACACATCTCTAGTAAAATAGGTGTACCAAAGGGCATATCCAGGCAATAGAAGCGATTGTAGTTAAATTCCACCATACGCCTTTCCTGGAGATAGTCATGGTGTCTCACGATCAGCCTGGCTCTATTAATAATAGTCATTACAGGAAGCTGCATGCCAGGTAGAAAGAGCCATTAGCTATTACTACTCCAGTGCCAAAAAGTAAAGACCACATTATATTTCCATTTCTTCTCTTAAGTCTTTTAAAACCTATAGAACATTATGTCCAGTATCTCTATTTCTCACACTCATTTTCATTTTCTATAGCTGTAAAAAAATTTTTTTTGTTTTTTTTGCTTGCCTACATCCAGAAAAAAAATTTTAATATTAGGACTATTCCATTCCTGCATCTATAAGGAATAGCAAATATTTTATACAGCACTATGGTTGGAATGGTAAACAAAAATAAGTCAGAAAATATTAATTTTTGGCTCCTATGGTAATTTTAACTTGTCCTCTTGGTGTGGTGTGGATGCAGCCAGGTTGGACTTCACACACAGCCTCTTGCATTATGTTGGCTCATTGTTAGAGTTCAGAAGTCACTACCTAAGTGTCTGATTGCTGCACTGTACATTACCTCAAGATACTATAAAGATTAATCCGATTACAGATGGGGAATCTATAAAACTGAGTAAGCTTCTTGGTAATAAAACTATATAAATACAAAATACTGTTTTATTATTGGCAAATAATATATTGTGTTTTAGCACAATACATAAGCTGCTAGGCATTTATTCAACCTGATTGGAAATGGGGACTTTTTATACTGAATCTAAAAATATTTTTACTTTAGACTGCTTTGATTAAAAAATTTTACCTTAGGTTGCTTTCATTAAAAAAAAAATGTTAGGCCGGGCATGGTGGCTCATGTCTGTAATCAGAGCACTTTGGAGGCCAAGGCGGGCAGATCACCTGAGGTCGGGAGTTCAAGACCAGCCTGACCAATGTGGTGAAACCCCATCTTAAAAAATAATAATAAAAATAAAAAAAATTTTAAAAATGTTTAAGACTGGGCGAGGTGGCTCACACCTGCAGTCCCAAAACTTTGGGAGGCTAAGGTAGCTGGACCACTTGAGGCCAGGAGTTCAAGACCAGCCTGGCCAATATGGTGAAACCCCATCTATACTAAAAATACAAAAATTAGCTAGGCACAGTGGTGGGTGCCTGTAGTTCCAGCTACTTGGGAAGCTGAGGCAGAATTGGTTGAACCCGGGAGGAAGAGGTTGTAGTGAGCTGAGATGGCACCACTACACTCTAGTCTGGGTAACAGAGGGAGACGCTGTCTCAAAAAATAATAATAATAAATAAATTTTAAAAGTTGGGCTGGGTGCTCGCTTCGGTAGCACTTATACTAAAATTGGAACGATACAGAGATTAGCATGGCCCCTGCGCAAGGATGACACGCAAATTCCTGAAGCTTTCCAGAAAAAAAAAAAAAAAAGTTGGGCTGGGCGCAGTGGCTCACGCCTGTAATCCCAACACTTTGGGAGGCCGAAGTGGGCCGATCACCTGAGGTCGGGAATTCGAGACCAGCCTAACCAACATGGAGAAACTCTACTACTCTACTAAAAATACAAAGTTAGCCGGGCGTGGTGGCGCATGCCTGTAATCCCAGCTACTTGGGAGGAGGGAGGTTGAGCAGGAGAATGGCTTGAACGTGGGAGGCAGAGGTTGCGGTGAGCCAAGATCGTGCCATTGCACTCCAGCCTGGGCGACAGAGCGAGACTCCGTCTCAAAAAAAAAAAGTTTAAAATATCATTGGTCCTTCAAGTTATACCTTCATTCTTTGATAACTGCTGTATTGAACACAATCTGCTAACTGCTTTACCATGACTAAGTAATCACTACTGATTTGAACCCAGGTTTAATGCCTGACTCTCAACATATGTGCTCTGCCTTCTCACAACCATGATTTCAAAAATCATAACACTGGGATCCAGGTGCAGCGGCTCATGCCTGTAATCCCAGCGACGGAGTGAGACCCCACTCTTAAAAAGAATTCATAGCATTGAACTGGGGGATCCCACTGAGATGAAACTTGGGTCAAAACAATGAGACTTGGGACTCTTCCTTGTTTTGTTTGTTTTGTTTCAAATAAAGCCATTCTAGAATGAGACACAAAATTCTAAAATATTTTATAGTGAACAATTGAAATTGAGTTTCATCTTGACAAGACTCTCTAGGACTATATACACACATCTCTTTTGGAGAAAATAACAAATCTAAACTGAAGTCAATTCCTGAATATGACAGGCCAGGTCAAATGGTTCTCCTGGCCCTCCCGCGGGATGTCACTCATAAACGAGATAAACGTCATAGTCTGGGCACCACTCCCTTCCATGCTCATGACCTTTCCACGGAGGCCCCTCTCCCTCACCAGGCACTTTCATCTTGGGAATATACATCAGTCCTGGCGGAGAAAGCAGCAAGGCCTTTTCCCAGCTCACAAAAACCAATACAAATCTTAGAGCCTGTATCCCACAGCCGTGACCACCGTGACCTGGCACCCCTTTTCTGCAAACTTAAAGGTATCTGGAAATCGGGCACGGCTCTGAAAGCCAAGGGCCTGGTAGGAGCCCGAGAAGGAGGAGAAACTTTCTGTGGTCGCATGATAATCGCAGTCACTGCACCGAGACCCGTCCCCTGGCATCCCTAGGCTCCAGCTGGCAAGAGAGACCACCAAGGCGGGGACAGCCAGACTTCCATTCAGTCGGGAAGAGGACGGACCCATCTAGGAAGGGCCCGAGGGCCACCGGGACTATAATCCCGGCGGGAAAGGCCGCGCGCGTGGCACGGCGGGAAAGGCAGCGGCGCGCAGAAACACTAGTCCCGCCCCGCGCCGCGCCGCGCTCCAGCAGGGCGGCCCTCCCGCGAGCGTCTCTGATTGGACTGCCGAACCCCGCGCGCTGATTGGCCGCGTGGGCGAGGCGGAGGAGAGCCGTGCGCAGCGGCGTATGTGGGGCCGTGTGCAGACCCGCGTGTGGCGCAGGCAAGGACCCTCAAAATAAACAGCCGCTACCTTGCGAGCCGTCTTCCACAGGCCTGCGTCTGAGACTCCGTCGCTGCGGGCCCGCTCCGACGCGGAAGGTGAGGGCTGGGGGAGGGGGCCGGCGCTGAGGGAACCGCAGTGCGGAGCGGTTCTGAGGCGAACAGAGAGGGTAGGGAGCGGCGAGGCGGCGATGGCGGCTGCACTTTGGCCTGGGCCGCTGCTGCGTCAGGCGGGAAGCTCGGCTGCTGCCACCTCCTCGGACCCTAGTTTCTGGCCCACCGCTGTCAGACGACACTTCTGCCCTTTCTTCGTCCTGGGAAGCTGGGTCGCCGAGCATGGGGGCCTCTCGGCGCCAGGGCCGCACCCCAGGCCGCAGGCTTAGGGCACGGGGGGCCCGGACCCTTGCGCCCTTGGGGCTGAGGCCCTAATGCGTCGAGGGTCGCCGAATGAGGGGCAGAGGGTGGATTTGGCGGGAACTCGGTGGAAAGAGTCCGCGTTGTGGGGAAAGGCTCCCGGCTGCGGACGAAGGGAGAATGGGGTGGGTATAGTCGTGCAGACCATGTGCTGGGGTCGTGAGCCTGACGGGCAATGTGCCAAGGGTTTTGGGGGCCTTAGAAAAGGGTTCTTAGGCCGGGCGCAGTGGGTCACGCCTGTAAGCCTAACACGTTGGGAGGCCGAGGCGGGCGGATCGCGAGGTCGGGAGTTCGAGACCAGCCTGGCCAACATAGTGAAAAACCGTCTCTACTAAAAATACAAAAATTAGCGGGTCATGGTGGTGCACGCCTGTAGGCCTAGTTACTCGGGAGGCTGAGGAAGTAGAAGCGCTTGAGCCCGGGAGGCGGAGGTTGTGGTGAGCCAAGATCGCGCCACTGCACTCAGCCTGGGCAACAGAGCGAGACTCCGTCTCAAAAAAAAAAAAAAAAAAAGAAAGAAAAGAAAGAAAGAAAAGGGTTTTTGAAGACGCCCTTGTGTTTCCGGTGGCCAGACACCACTGGAAGACTTGTGAGCCTTTAGAGTTTGTACTCCCCATACCTGATGGTTTCCCTGATTCTAGTATTCTTATCGTTATTTAGGTAGTAAGTTGCTTGTCTTACATTAGCATTCGAAAAGGGGCTAATGGGGCCCACTTTCCCTGAGTCAACACGATTTAAGTTGCTGGGATCCTTTAAAAGCGCCATTACCAGAAAAAAACACGGATTTGTCAATCCTCCAAAACCATAGCAGCAGTCGGTAGTCTTTGCATCATTTCTTGGATTAATGAAACAGCTGTAGTTACAAACGAGACAGACATGAAATTCGATTAGCCATCCTCCATCTAGATTTTTCCATATCGTGAAAACCTATTTTAGAATGGCATAATTCTCCACATTTGGGTTTAGGTGTTGATGGGTAAGACTTGTGCTTGTTGCCACATGTTAACCACATGGCTTCAGCCACAGGGCACTTCCAAAGGAAGTGACTGCTGGTCTTGTGGGGTCTTGTAAAAAGAGAACATTGCTCAGTAATCGTCTGTGATTTCAGCTAGTGTGTTTCAGTCATTATTCTGAAGGACTCAGAAGAGATACGAAGCCAAAACTCTGAATTTGTTTTTTGTCTTTTTCAAAGTGAAGGTCGTCTAATGTATATCCCCATCTTGCTCTTAAATTACGTTTTTAAAAGTAGATTCTCCCCCTTTCGTATTGTTTGACCCAGTTTTAGAGTGAAACATGACCAGTTAATATTTCCATGAAGGAATTAATCTTAGAATTTAAATTTGCAATTTTATGTTGTTTACTTAAGTAGTATAAACGGAGCGTAGAGCTTTTAGGGTTTCAAAAAGATAAGATATTTAGTCCTTATCACTTAGGCTTCCCCCTCCCCACTTCTAAATAGTTTTAAATGCTTCTAATGAGTTGGTCTAGTTAAGGTTAATGAAACACCTGTAAACTGCCAGGCTCCTAGGTACACGCTTTTAGTTTGTTGAGTCTGATTCTTATCTACAAGAGTTCTTTGTGTATTGGAATATAAAAGGAATAATTTATTAGATTCCCAAAGGCAGAATTAAAAACTTAAAGTTTTCCAGATTTCATCTCTTGATAACAGTTTTTCTTTAAAAAAAAGTAACAGTTATGTTTGTGTTTTTCTGAGGAACCAAAGGTCCACATTTTTTTTCGTATTGGTAACAGGAGAGGTAATATATTTCAAACATATGGTGCAGTCTGTAAAATATTTTGAACCAAATCAGTGGAAGACCAGGGGTTTTTCTTACACTGGCATTTGAACATCTGAAACAGCCAGAGAGATCTTTATCTTAAAGTATAAATGTGTTTTGTTGCATGATTTATGACAATTCTACTTGGCTTTTAAAGTTCAATAAAATACGTGGCATGTATATGGGATAATACCAAACTGGTGCCTAAAAGCAATGAAACTACCACTGGACTAATTGGATTGAATGGTGTATTGGCTGAACAGTTGACCACAAGAGATTTTGCTTTTTTTTTTTTCCCTGCAGGAATGAGAGTTTAAAAAATGATTGGCTTTTTTCTCTTCCTAGCCTCCTGACAGTAAGTAGAAAGCCAGGAGAATGATGCCAAGGCATCCTGGCCTGCTATGTGGAGAATGCTCTTTCCCTACTGCCTCACTTCATAGAACTCTTATTCTGGCAGTGTCAGATGCTGCTGCAGCAAGGGAATGCCATTGAGTGATTGCAGTAAGCTATGCAGCATTTTCATGTTTAAAACTACTGGGATAATAAAGTGAGAACTTGGGGCCACCAGATTTCAAGTTGTAATTAGAAGGATTTTGTTTTAGGAATATGAGAGGGCTACAATGATCACCTGGAATGGCTCCATAAATACAGTGAGGTGTTAACTAGTGAAATCAGGTTGCCAGTGTTTGTTTGGTGAGACTCATAAGTTCTGCCATGAAGTTAAGGAGAATGTCTGTCTTAGCTTAAAATTCAAGAAACCTGTGTGAATGAAGTCAAAATTATGACTGTAGATTTTTTTTAAAAAGCTATCAGTTCTAGTTTTACTTTGATTTTATCTAAAGAGAAATACAGAATGAATACAATTCAATTGTATGTGGGGGAGATGGTGGAGGGTGGGGTGCTGAGTCTCGCTCTGTCACCGGCCCAGGCTGGAGTGCAGTCTCAGCTCACTGCAACCTCCGATTCCCAGATTCTAGTGATTGTCTTGCCTTGGCCTCCGGAATAGCTGGGATTACAGGTACACACCACCATGCCTGGCTAATTTTTGTATTTTTAGTAGAGATGGGGTTTCACCATGTTGGCCAGGAACATCGAGATCTCCTGACCTTGTGATTTGTCTGCCTTGGCCTCCCAAAGTGCTGGGATTACAGGCGTGAGCCGCTGAGCCCAGCCATGGCTTTTTTAAAGTTACTAGATACATAGTATTACCTTTATGTAATATTTTGAAGTAGGAAGTAAATTGTATAATTCCCTGCTTTAAAAATACTACACAATGGCATTTTTGTCATATATTATGATAGCATTTTTGTGTACTTTAACTTTTTATTTTTATTTTTTCTGAAATGGAGTCTCGCTCTGTCACCTAGGCTGGAGTGCAATAGCATGATCTCGGCTCACTGCAACCTCTGCCTTCCAGGTTCAAGCCATTCTCCTGCCTCAGCCTCCCAAGTAGCTGGGACTACAGGTGCCCGCCACCACACCTGGCTAATTTTTGTATTTTTAGTAGAGACAGGGTTTCACCATGTTGGCCAAGCTGGTCTTGAACTCCTGACCTCAGATGATCCGCCTGCCTCAGCCTCCCAAAGTGTTGGGATTACAGGCGTGAGCCACCTCGCCCAGCCTCAACACTTAACAAATTCTTAACGAAAGCCTCTGCAGAGGGTTGAGAGCCAGACTCTTGAAATCCTGATGTACTTTAGATGTGTGGCTTTGGGTAAGTCACTTGGTGTCATATCTTTAGTTTGTCATTGAAATGGAGCAAGAATACATTACTTGTAAGGTTGTAAGATTATATATATGTTTACTAATGCCTGACTCATAGGTATCCAGGTATTAAAACCCTTCAAGAAGTAATCAGGCCAGGCAGAAATGCATGTAATTAACCAAGGTCAGGCAGTAAATGCAGGAACCAGGATAAGAATGTAGAATTGCCCCCCAGGTAACTACTCCGTTTTCCATTCTCCTGGCTGGAATGCAGATAATGCAGAATGTATACTGCTTCCTTTCTTTGCATCCGTAGTTTGTTTTTATCAAAACAGTCTGAAGTGTTCCAGTACCATGTTGGAACACTAAACTGACTTGCCATCTTAACAATGAGTATATACATTCAGAGGGCAAAAGCTCCAATATGGTCTCAATGCAGTTAGGTCAACAACATGAATGAGCCAGGGATAATCCTTTCGAAGTTATTAAGGATATATACAAATGTGAACGTGTCCAGCTGTGTTAGGAAAACCATATAAAATAATAAAGATAGCCAGAATCACACCTTACTTTGCTAGTATCATTTTTTTATCCCCAACTTTCCTGTTGCTACTTATTTTAAATGTATTTTCTAGGATAGAGTTATGATCATTCTATTTATTAGAACCCAGATTGTTAGTCTTGACCACATACTGTTAGGTTTTAGTAGTTTACTAGATTTGTTCTTAGTATCAATAGTATGGTACAATTACGTTAAGGAAGACAAATTTAGTATAATAATCATTTGTGGTTCATTTAATTCTAATATTTAATCTTTAAAGTCTCAATAAGTACAAAATTTGTAAAACAGTTTTTTTCTTCTTCCTCCCCCACAATGGTCCCTCCTGTGGGAGTAAAATAGTTATACCTCTTAGTTTAGCTTACATGGCCCCTCACAGTCTTGTCAGACATTTTTTTTTTTTTTTTTTTTGTGACAGAGTCCCTCCCTGTTTCCCAGGCTAGAGTGCAGTGGCGTGATCTCAGCTCACTGCAACCCCTGCCTTCCAGGTTCAAGCAATTCTCCTGCCCAAGCTTCCCAAGTAGCTGTGATTATAGGTGTGTGTTACCATACTCGGCTAATTTTTGTATTTTTAGTAGAGATAGGGTTTCACCATGTTGGCCAGGCTGATCTTGAGCTCCAGACTTCAAGTGATATGCCTGCCC